CCGGCCCCGGGACCCCCGCCGGGACCCCCGGCCCCGACCCCCGGCCCGGCCCGGACTCGAACCCGGGTCCCCGCGGGGCCGCCCCGGCTGCGACCGCGCCGGCTGCAGGGCGGGGCCTCGGAGGGGCGTGGCCCAAGGGGGCGTGGCCTGGAGTAAAAGGCGGGGTTTGGAGCAGGGGAGGGGCCTCGTGGGTGGGCGTGGAGTTAATGAAGGGGCGTGGTCTGATGGGTGTGGTCGCGGGGCGTGGTTTGTGAGAGGCAAGGGAGGTGGGGCGTGGAAAGGTGGGTGTGGCTTGAAAATGAGGCGTGGTCTGGAGTGGGGGTGGCTTTGGGGGCGTGTCTTATCGGTAATTAGCATGGGCAGGCATAAAATGGGGGCGTGGTCATTAGGAAGGGGCGTGCCCAAAAGGTAACTTGGCCACACCCACAGAGCTGGCCACGCTGTGGGTGTGGCCACACTGAAGGGCGTGGCCTGCGGTGGGGGCGTGGCCAGCAGTGCTACATTATTCCCATGGCGACAACACAACCCCAACGTTGCCATGGTGACGGTGAAGCTGCTTAGGAACAGGCCCCGCCCCTTTTTTGGGGGGGGGCTCTTAAAGGAGCAACACCGGAATTGCAGGGTGGGGCCCACCGAGGGGGTGGGGCAGATTTTGGGGTTCCTGGGGGGGTTTTGGGGGGCAGGGGTGGGGCAGATCTGGCCACACCCCCCACGTGACAGCCCACAGGGGTCACAGAGGGTGACAGTCACAACACCTTTAGTACAACCGAGGCCTGGGGGTGACATTTGGGGTCCCCAGAGGGGCTGTGACCCCGAGGGGTCAGTGCTGCTGTCCCCAGGGTGACACTGGGTGACATTTGGGGTCCCCAGGGTGACAGTTGTGGTCCCCAAGGGTGACAGTCACCGTCCCTGGGATGGGTGACAGTCGGCGTCCCCAAGGGGGTGACAATCTCCAGTCCCAGTGTCCTCAGGGAGGTGACACTCAGTGGTCACAGTGTCCCCCAGGGAGGTGACAATCGCCAGCCCCGGTGTCCCCAGGGGGGTGACACTCATTGTCCCCAGGGAGGTGACAATGGCTGGTCCAGGTGTCCGCAGGGGGGTGACACTCAGTGGTTCACAGTGTCCCCAGGGAGGTGACACTCAGTGGTCCCGACGTCCCCAGAGAAGTGACACTCGGTGTCTCCGAGGAGGTGACAATCTCCAATCCTGGTGTCCCCAGGGAGGTGACACTCGGTGTCCCCAGGGATGTGACAACTGCCAGTCTCGGTGTCCCCAGGGAGGTGACACTTGGTGTCCCCAGGATGGTGACAATGGCCGGTCCTGCTGTCCCCGGGGGTGTCCCAGCCGCTGTCCGTGATGTCCCTGGTGTCCCCAGGGGTGTCCCCGATGTCCCCGGGGGTGTCCCCGATGTCCCCGATGTCCCCGGGGGTGTCCCCGATGTCCCCGATGTCCCCGGGGGTGTCCCCGATGTCCCCGATGTCCCCGGGGGTGTCCCCGACGTCCCCGGTGTCCCCGGGGGTGTCCCAGCCGCCGTCCCCGCTGTCCTCGGGTCCCCACCACCAGAGCTGCAGCCGGATGTCCCCCCCCGGGGCCGGCCCCTCCTGTGTCCCCTCGCTGTCCCCGTCGCTGTCCCATGGCGCCGCGAACAGGCGCTGGCCCGAGGCCGTGGCCAGCAGCGGCAGCCCGGGGTGCAGGCTGGGAAAGTGGGGAAATTCGGGGAAATTTGGGAGAATTTGGGTGAAAATCTGGGGGTTTGGGGTGGGAATTTGGGGAAATTTGGGGGTTTGGGGTGGGAATTTGGGGAAATTTGGGGGTTTGGGGTGGAAATTTGGGGAAATTTCGGTGAAAATCTGGGGGTTTGGGGTGGAAATTTGGGGAAATTTGGGGGTTTGGGGTGGAAATTTGGGGAAATTTGGGTGAAAATTTGGGGATTTGGGGTGGAAATTTGGGGGATTTGGGGGCACTTCGGGGAGTTTGGGGTAAAAATTTGGGAAGGGTTAGGGTGGAAACTGGGGAATTTGGGGAAATTTGGGTGAAAATTTGGGGGCTTGGGGTGGAAATTTGGGGGTTTGGGGGTAAAAATTTGGGAGGGGTTTGGGTGGAAATCTGGGGAATTTGGGGAAGTTTGGGGTGGGAATTTGGGGGATCCAAGTGAAAATTTGGGGGTTTGGGGGAGTTGGGGTGGGAATTGGGTGGAAATAGAGGGGGTTTGAGGTGGAAATTTGGGGGAATTTGGGTGAAAATTTGCGGGTTTGGGGTGGAAATTTGGGGGAGTTTGAGAGGAAATTGGGGGAGTTTGGGGTGGAAATTTGGGGGAATTTGGGTGAAAATTTGCGGGTTTGGGGTGGAAATTTGGGGGTTCCAAGTGAAAATTTGGGGGTTTGGGGGAGTTGGGGTGGGAATTTGGGGGATCCAAGTGAAAATTTGGGGGTTTGGGGGAGTTGGGGTGGGAATTGGGTGGAAATAGAGGGGGTTTGAGGTGGAAATTTGGGGGAATTTGGGTGAAAATTTGCGGGTTTGGGGTGGAAATTTGGGGGATTTGGAATGGAAATCTGGGTGAAAATTTGAAGGATTTGGGGGTGCTCCCAGGTATTTTTGGGGGGTCCCCCCAATATTTTTTGGAGGGGAGGAGAGGCTCAGCTGTTTGGGGAGGTCTCAGATTTTTTGCGGGGGGCAGGTCCCAAAAATTTGGTGCAGCTCCCAGATTTTTGGGGTGATCACAGGTATTTTTGGGGGGTTCCCCAATGTTTTTTTGGGGGTGTTCCCCGATTTTTTGGGGGGGTCCCCAATACTTTTTGGTGGGGGCTCCCCAATTTTTCGGGGGGTTCCCAATGTTTTTCGGAGGGGTTCCCAGTGTTTTTTGGGGGGGTTCCCCGATTTTTTGGGGGAGTCCCCAATGTTTTTTCGGGGGGTTCTCCAATGTTTTTTCGTGGGGGGGTCCCCAGTGTTTTTTGGGGTGTTCCCCGGTTTTGGGGGTGCTCCCCGGTTTTTTGGGGTGCTCCCCGGTTTTTTGGGGGTGCTCCCCGGTTTTTGGGGCGCTCCCCGGTTTTTGGGGGTGTTCCCCGGTTTTTTGGGGTGCTGCCCGGTTTTTGGGGGTGTTCCCCGGTTTTTGGGGTGTTCCCCGGTTTTTGGGGCGCTCCCCGGTTTTTGGGGCGCTCCCCGGTTTTTGGGGTGCTCCCCGGTTTTTGGGGTACCTGGTGCCGTTGACGCAGTCGCGGAGGGCGCGGAAGCGAAGCAGGGGGGGCAGCTCGGGGGGGTCCCCCGGGCCGGGGGGGGCCAGCGTGTCCCACACGGTGACAAAGCCATCGGTGTCACCGCTGACCAGGAACCGCCCCGACCTGGGGGGCGCCAGGGGGGAATGAGACCCCCCAATCCCCCCGGAAACCCCCCAAAAATGGGGCCCGAGGGGCCCAAAAACCGCCCTGGACCCCCCAAAAATCCTCTCCAAGGTGACCCAGGTGTTCAGGATGTCCCCAAAGGGTGACCCAGGTGTCCAGGGACCCCCAAAAATGCCCTTTAAATGTCATCCAGGTGTCCAGGACACCCCAAAAATCCCCTCAAAAGGTGCCCCATGTGTTCTGGACTCCCAAAAATATCCCCAAAAGGGGATCCAGGTGTCCAAAACACCCCAAAAAGTGACCCAGGTGTCCCCAGTGTCCCCAAAAAGTGACCCAGATGTTCAGGACCCCCCAAAAATCCCCCCAAAGGTGCCCCAGGTGTCCCTGATGTCCCCAGAAGGTGCCCCAGATGTTCAGGACCCCCCAAATTTCCCCGACGTCCCCAGAAGCTGCCCCAGGTGTCCCCAGTGTCCCCGAAAGCACCCCAGGTGTCCCCAGTGTCCCCAGCTGCCCGGGGTGTCCCCAGTGTCCCCAAAAGTGCCCCAGGTGTCCCCAGTGTCCCCAAAAGTGCCCCAGGTGTCCCCAGTGTCCCCAAAAGCTGCCCCAGGTGTCCCCAGTGTCCCCGAAAGCACCCCAGGTGTCCCCAGTGTCCCCAGCTGCCCGGGGTGTCCCCAGTGTCCCCAAAAGTGCCCCAGGTGTCCCCAGTGTCCCCAGAAGTGCCCCAGGTGTCCCCGATGTCCCCAGCAGTGCCCCCGGGTCACTCACGGGTCGAGGTCGAAGGTCACGCGCTGGTTGGTGGCCACGCGCCGCGGCAGCGCCAGGAGGGGACGCTCGGGGACACGAAGGTCCCAGCACAGGATGTGGCGGTCCTGGGGGCGGGGCCAGGCCGGGGCACGCCCATCAGGCCTGAAGCCACGCCCCCTTGGCCCTCAAACCGCCAGCCCATAAGTCCCGCCCATAAAGCCACACCCACCAGACAGGGATATGTCAATCAGACCAAAACCACGCCCCTAAAGCCACGCCCAGTGTATGTAATTCCCAGAGGCCACGCCCCCAGCACTGGGGCCACACTCACAGTCACAAAGCCCTGCCCACCACGAGGCCACGCCCTCATAATAACCCACAGGTCCTGCCCACCCCATGCCCCACCCAAATCCACACCCACATTAGGCCACGCCCACCAACGCCACGCCCACATCAGGCCACGCCCACCTTCCTCCCGCCCGCGTACAGCTGCGTCCCGCAGGGGCTGAAGCGCAGGTGGGTGGGCGCGGCCGGGAGGCGGGGCCAGAGCGCCACGGCCCCGCCCCCTTCCAGCGGGTACAGCCCCAGGCTCCGCCCATAGGAGCCGCAGGCAAACAGCGATTGGCTGGGGCTGAAGGCCAGGCAGCCAATCAGGCCTCGCTGGCCATTCCCGCCCTCTGAGGGGGTGGAGACAAAGGTTAGGCCACGCCCTCATCGGTGAGGCCACGCCCCCTGGACTCCACCCACCCAAGCCCTGCCTGGGGCCACGCCCCTCAAAGCCACGCCCTCTTGTGCTCCACCCATTTACATTTTGCCCTGCCATGCCCCTTTAAGCCCCACCCCTTTCCACCATTTAGGCCACGCCCCAGGGTCCCACCCGCTCCCAGACCACACCCTTTTAGGCCACACCCCTTTCCTATAGGCCACACCCCTTTCAGCCCCGCCCTCTTAACCCCCAAACCCCAATTCCACCCCAAATAAAGGGGAGGGGGCCACAGCCCCTGCCCCACCCTTTTACCCCACCCTTACAGGCCACGCCCCTTTCCTTTAGGCCACACCCCTTTCAGCCCCACCCTGCCCCTTTTAACCCCTGACTTTCCCATTCAAACCCATTTTAACCCCAAATAAAGAGTGGGAACCGCCCCTGCCCCACCCCAGCCCCTCCCATGGACCCCACCCCTTTAGGCCACGCCCCTTTCCTTTAGGCCACGCCCATTTTCGCCCCTTTTAACCCCTGACTTTCCCCCCAAACCCCATTTTAACCCCAAATAAAGGGTGGGAACCGCCCCTGCCCCACCCCAACCCCTCTCCGGACCCCACCCTTTTAGGCCCCGCCCCCAGGCCCCGCAGGCCCCGCCCCTCACGGTGCAGGTTCCTCTGGAGGCCGCTCCGGCCCGGCCGCTCGGTCGGGAATTCCCGCACGGCGCCGTCGAAGCCCCCCAGGAGCCAGGAGCCGTCGGGGGCGAAGGCCAAGGAGTGGGGGGCCACCAGCTCGTCCTGGGGACCCCCGGTCACTGCCGGGCACCCCAAAGCCCCCCCGGACAGACGGGGGGTTCCCCAAATCCCTACAGGAACCGGGGACACCCCAAAGCCCACCCAGACAGACGGGGGGTCCCCCAAATCCCTACAGGAACTGGGGAGACCCCAAAACCCAGGGATCCCCAAAACCCAGGGATCCCCAAATCCAGTTCCCCACCAGTGCCCCCAGTGCCCTCCCAGTCCCTTCCCAGTGCTCCCAGTTCCCTCCCAGTCCCCCCCAGTCCCTCCCAGTCCCCCCCAGTTCCTCCCACCCGGTGCTCACAGGCAGCTCGGGGGGTCGCTGGAGTCCATCAGGGGGTACCAGGTGAAGTCGTAGATGGTGTCACCCTCGGCCACCCGCACGGCCGGGAGCTGCGGCCAGAGCGACCCAGAGTGACCACTGACCCTGAGTGACCACTGAGTGACCCGAGTGACCCCAAGTAACCCTGAGTGACCCCGAGTAACCCTGAGTGACCACTGAGTGACCCCTAGTGACCACTGACCCCAAGTGACCCCAAGTGACCACTGACCCTGAGTGACCACTGAGTGACCCCGCCGCCCCCCCCACGCGCACCGTCCACTGTGGGCGCCGCCATGACAGAGCGAGGCCACGCCCCTTTGTTGGGCACGCCCCTTCGGTACCCGCGCACATTGTTGGCCACGCCCACATATCCATATATGGAATGAGGCGCGATTTGGATTGGCTCCTCCCTGTGTGGGCGGGGTCTCGGCTTTTCCCGCCAAAAGGGAACGCCCGCGATTTGGGGACCCCGAGATGCGAACTCAAAACCGACCCCAAAAGGGTCCAGAGGGGCCTGGGACACCCCAAAATGTCACCCGCGGGTTTGGGGGGTCCGGGGGACACCTAAATGTGAACCGGGCGGGACAGAGTGACACAGGGCACCCCAAAATGTCACCGGGGGGGACAGAGTGACACAGGGCACCCCAAAATGTCACCTGAGGAGGTCAGAGTGACACAGGGCACCCCGAAATGTGACCTGGGGGCATCAGAGTGACACAGGGCACCCCAAAATGTGACCCGGGGGGGACAGAGTGACACAGGGCACCCCAAAATGTCACCTGAGGGTTTGGGGGCGGTCCCTAAAAGGGGTCCTGGAGTGGGTGGGGAGCAACCCAGGGGTGACACAACCACGGCCACCATAAAACAGCCATGGCCACCA